GTGAGGGAGTCATCCACGCGTTGCTTATTCCCTGAATAGTATTCCCCCATTGTGTTATTTGTTCATTCTACTGTGTCTACACGGGGGTGGTTTTCAGTTTGAGGCCACGCTTAGTAGTTCTTGTAGGTCTCGGGTAACCATATAAGTGCGTACTGCGGGACTTGTGCCCAGGAGTGAATCGCTGTGTCATAGGGTATGTGGATGGTCAGGTTCAGAAGATTCTGCCACACTTGTCCAGAGAGCTTGTACCATTTCCCCTCCCACTGTCTGCAGACTCATCTTGTGCATTTCTTGCCCCAGTCCTAGGATCAGCTGTTTCTCCATGGAACCCTGATTTTTTTTCACATTATAAAGCATTCACAAAAATAGGATTTTTAAAAGGAGAGAAAGTAAAACTAATGGAAGTTCTACATTTTTTTTCACACCCAACTGAGTAAAAAAAAAAAAAAATAGAAGAGACACTAGTGAAAGACCACACGCCATGTAGAGGAAGGAGTCTGAGAGCTGAGGGTAGGTGCCAGAGAGTGCAGCAGGAGGAAGGGCTGAAAAGGACATCAAGGGTGGGTGCCTGAGTGCCATTGTCATCTGCTTCCAGGAGGGGTCCTCAGAGCTGAGCCAATCAGAATGCCTCCTAAGTACTCCCATCCCCACCTGCTTCAGTGTCTTTAGCTTTCGTGAGTGAATGTACCTTAAACTCTACCCAAGACTGGGGCACCCTTTAGGTATCAGATAGCAGGAGGTGACTGCAGCAACAGTGAAGGGTATTTTAGGATGATGATAGTGTCCTGGTTTCCTAAAAATGCAGCAACCTCTATAGGGAAAGTAACTTAATTTACTCTAATGTCTACCTCCAAAGAGCCAAGTGGAGTGACTCTTGAGCTTGGTCTCAACAGAGAATCCCCTCCCTGCCTGTACTGTAAGCTGTCTTTAGCTCCCAGGTAGAGAAAATGTTCTGGAAGGTGGTATGTGGGTGTTTGGGGGAATATATCCAGTCAACCCTACTAAGTTTGGGGGCTTTTCTGGCCTTGGTGTTCACAGCTTGTGTGGCTGAGGCTGAAGCTGCCAGCCTTGACAATCATGGTAAGAAGCACTTGGAATTGCTGCCTAGGGAGGAGCCTCCTTTCCTCCTGGAGCTTGCCCAGGGCAGGAGAAAGCCATTTCTGCTGACTGTGATGGGCAGGCTTCTGGGCCAGCATCACAGCTGAGATCCAGGAGCCAGGTTTGGGGTTGGCAGCCTCTCTGCCTGCCCTGTTGCAAGATCAGATGATAGTCTTGTTCACCCACTGGAAAGGAGCAAAGCCTCCACAATAAGAGCTGCTGGGTAGTTCCAGTTGCTGCAAGGCAAGGGCATCAAGAATTGGGTGATGAGTAGGCTCCTGGTTAGACATTGTGATGTAGCCATACAACAGAATATGCCGCAGTTGAAAAACAGCAAGGCACCGCTTGAGAACAGTAGAACTCTTGACACATAACCATCCGTCCAAACCTGCCCTAAGACTTGACCAAACTCTAGCATAGCTTCTAGCAGCATAAGGCCATGATGACCCCAGCCCCCCATTAAAATGCCTGCCTGAGAAAGCTCAAAGCTGCCAGGAAAATTTACTGTTCATTCTAGCTAATGCCTGATGATGGGCCCCTAGCCTCCCTTTCTTAGAGCACTTACTAAAAAGGGCTTATAATTGTGAATATGTGTCTCTTATAACCCAGAAGAAGATTATAACTCTTACAATCTTTCACTGACCTGAGAGCCATTCCCTTGAAATGTACTCATCAGGAGGGACAGGGCCTCTTTCTCCCTTCTCTGTGGGAGGATAGACTCCTCCTGCCTCCCACACCTGCCAGATAGCAGACACACCTGGCCTAATTGCAGCTTCACTGACTGGCTCATTGTGACTTTTCACTACCTCCCGCCCCCCGCAGCCCCCATTCTCCCTTTGAAACACCCAGTCACCTCTGCAGCACATCGGATGGAGCGCAGCTCTTTGCCCTGCTGTCCGTAGTTACCGAATAAAATCTGCTTTCACCACTTCATAATGTATGGCTGTGTATGTCTTTGACATGCTACATGTTTTGTTTTCTCTATATGTTTTTTATACTAAATATGTGTCACGCACACAGAGGGGGCACGTCAGCAGCATATACTCCCATTTTTGAAACAAAACAAAACAAAACTCAAAACGTGTGAGGGGCGGAAACCCTTGACCTGGGAGGCTGGATGGGGCGCTGGGCCGGAATTCGTGCTCCCGGGTACCCCGGCGCCGGCGCTCTCAAGCTGAGGGCCCTCGCTCAGCCAGCCTCAGTTTTCCCACCGGAAACTCGAGGGCTCCCGGGTGTCCGCCCCGCGGTCCTCACCGCCCCCGTTGCCCCCGTGCCCCTGGCCCACAGGCGGGCTCCACGAGAGACCCGGGGAAACCGGAAGTTGGAACGGGGCAGCCGGACGGAAAACGCGGGCACACCGGCCAGGGTCCGGCAGCACCAGGATGACCCTTCGCCCTCGGCGGGACTGCCCCTCGCGAGCGCGGACAGCAGCGCGCAGGTAAGGGCAGCAGGGCGGTGCTGTGGGGGGCGGGGCCAGGGAGGCGACAGCCAATCACCGCGTCTCCCGTGGGGGCGGGATGGGGCAGTTGTTGCTTGGGAGACGCGCTCCCTGCATAGTTGCCCTGCGGGCTGCAGAGCTGGGGAACGACGACTTGTGCGCGCGGGGCTCTTGGGCCTCCTGTGGCTCCGAACGCCTCCCCCTGCGTCCGTCTCGCATCAGGGGACGGGGCCTCAGGGTTGCCTCCACGCCACCAGCGGTGAGCGGGCCGCCCGGCACCTGAACTCTCACTACCTGGTCTCCAGCGGCCCTGGGAGTTCTGTTATTTTTCTTCAAAATTTGTTTTATTTCCGGGGTTCCACCTACCTAACACTTGTACTGGCTTCCTTTTCTTCTTTTTCAATGGTTAACATTTTCTCTGCTGTTTACTCGATTATTCCTATTTTTCTTGGCTTCTCTTACATTCCTTTATTTGCCCCTATCGTCTCTCCTTCCTAAGGCTAAATCTCTGCATTTCCCTGTCTCCAGCCTGGCTTAACGGTGTTCATTAACACACGTTTGTTTTTATTTTTCTTACATCAGATGATTCTTTTTTCTAGTTTTTATTAGTCTGGCTGCTTTTTTGTAAGGTCCTCTTTAAGACCTGAATCAGCTCGCAGGCCAGTCTGAGGGTAGATCACGATTTACTAAAGGTGGCGTATTCTCTCTTACTCAAGCTCACTGAAGCCGCAGGATAGTGGAGTTGGCATTTGTTGAGTGTTTCCCGTGCCTGAAGCTCTGATAAGCGCCTTGTAAACAGGCTCCTGAGGTAAGTACTCTCTAACCTGGTGGCCTGTGAGTGGGACAACAGATGTTTTCTGCTGGAATTGTATGGAGTTCTTAATTTTGTTTTGTTTTTGTTTTTAGTCATCAACATTCAAAAGTCAGGATATTTCACATAGAAATTGAATTCTTTTTGGCTTCTCTTGAAAAAACCTCATGCTTGGGCAATACTGAGCCCCCAACCGCCCCCTTTAAACAAAATATGGTTTCTTGAGGCCCCTGAAGTCTCTCCCACTCCGGTCTTACACCCAAGGCACTGGTGGTTTATGGTACTGCGTGGTTGCTGAAGGCATTTAAGTTTTTGATCTCTACTTATTGATTCACCCTGCCCTGGTCTGAAGTCTTTTGGAGACTGCAATTCCCACAAAGCAAATATCAATAATCCTTCCTCCTAGACCTGCTCAGGCCTAGAGCCAGCCCTAGAAGGGTTTCCTCTCATTTCCAAGAAGGAGCTAATATCTATCACATAGCAGATGCTCAGTAAATATTTTCTGGGGCTTCCCTGGTGGTGCAGTGATTGAGAGTCTGCCTGCCAATGCAGGGGACATGGGTTCGTGACCTGGTCTGGGAAGATCCCACATGCTGCGGAGCGGCTGGGCCCGTGAGCCATGGCCGCTGGGCCTGCGCATCCGGAGCCTGTGCTCCGCAACAGGAGAGGCCACAACAGTGAGAGGCCCGCATACAAAAAAAAAAAAAAAATATATATATATATATATATATATATATATAATTTTTTTTTCTGAACAGTTAAATAAATGTTGAGACTTCTTTTGGTCTAACTTAGGTGATCCCATGGTGGGATCCAAACCTCTGGGCTTCCTCAGTATCCCTGAACTGTAGCCCCTTTTGTCTGGTAGAGAAACGTTTGCCCAGGAATCAGGACACACCCGTTCTTTCTGGACTTGGTGCACTCCTGGGACTGCCATGTGTGAGATGGTCCACCTCAGGTTGAGTTCCTTTACTCTGGACACTGGCTTAACACAGTCTGGCTCCCAGACTGCGCATTTCATCTTTTCCAGGGCCCCCTGTGGCTTTTTCTCATTTTATAATTCTGTTTTAAAACCAGTATTGACTTTTGATACAATTTTGTTCATCTCTCTTTACTTTGAGGATTAAAACACCTGGAGATACTGACCAGAGCCAAACCCTGGGGGTAATTTTTCTTTCATCAAAGTGATAGTAGAATCAATAAGAATTCTAGGACTCCTAAAACAAGTTGAACTCCAAAAGCAGAGTTGCAAACTCAAAATGCTGCAAGGGCCAAGTGGAGAACCAAAGGTAGCACCCTGAGATCAGGCCCGGAATGGGAGGAATATGGGTCCAAGTTTGCTCTGGTTGTTCTGGTTTCTCAAGAAAATCAATTTTATGGGAATTCCCCTCACTTTTATTTTTTTATAAATTTATTTATTTATGGCTGCGTTGGGGCTTCGTTGCTGCGTGCAGACTTTCCCTAGTTGTGGTGAGTGGGGGCTACCCTTCATTGTGGTGCTCTGACTTCTCACTGCAGTGGCTTCTCTTTGTTGTGGAGCACAGACTGTAGGTGGGCGGGCTTCAGTAGTTGTGGTACGCTGGCTCAGTCGTTGTGGCTCATGGGCTCTAAAGCGCAGACTCAGTAGTTGTGGCGCACGGGCTTAGTTGCTCCGCGGCATGTGGGATCTGCCCGGGCCAGGGCTCTGAACCCATGTCCCCTGCATTGGCAGGCGAATTCTTAACCACTGCGCCACCAGGGAAGTCCTGGAACCCTCCTAATTTTTTAAGCGTTGGGAACTAAGTTTTAAAAAAATTGAACCCTTGTGAGTGCACACAGCACACCGATGGGGTGGTACAAGGGCCAGTGGTGCCTGTCTTCCTGGGTGAAGTGGATGTATCTCAGAGGACTCTGATAGGCCGAAGGCAGGGGGCCTGGGAACGTTTCCAGCAGGAATCTTCCTGGAATCTGACTACAGGGCTGGCCCTCACCCCTTTCCTGACACTCATCCCCTGTGCCCTGTTAAGGAGAAATGAGTGCCTTGCCCCAGGGAGTGAAGCGCAGTCTCTGTTCTCCCGTTTTGGGAGCCTTAGCTCTCAGAGTCTGAAGGGAAGACAGAAGCTGAGAGGTGGACTATGAAGCCACCAGGGATGTCTGAGGGTTTGGGACCCCATGCATGGCTGGGTCAGACCCCTTTGTCACCTCTATCCCTAGCCTTGAGAGGGAGCTGGTCGGGGGCGGGGGGAGGGCAGCGTCTGGAAAAATCAGATTGATGCCACATCTTTCCAAAGTGTGAGACATAGGTGTAGGGGTGGGTACTGAGGAGTTCCCAGGTCTCTTCGTTTCCTAAGTTTGCTCTTAGGGAGAGAGAACTCCATGCCAGTCTTGGCGGGAACCCAGAGGAGCTGCTGACTGGTCTGGGAGCCTTAAATGAAATCCAGGGACGTCTCCACGGAGACACCCATAAGACTTTCAGGAGCTCTGTGTACTGAAAAGGACCACCATATCCGTCCACTCGGCAAAGTGTCCTTCGTCCTGTAACGACAGCTGCAATTTGAAACGTCAAATATCAAAATCCTTACACAAAATATATTTTCCCACTTTGGCGCTCCTGCTTGGCTGGTGTCACGAGCACGTGCCAGGTAAAGCGATCGTGAGCCGGCAACGCGGATCTGGGAGTCACCTCCCGGCCGAGAGCAGGTGCAGCCGGCCTCGGGACCCCAGACCCGGAACCCTCCAAGCTGGGAACGCTGTAGGGCTGCAGCTGTGTGGGGAACGGGATCTGGGAGGGACTTCCTGTTGTCCCTAATCCCAGTCTCCACCCGGCTCCCCGCGCCCGGTGTAGGCTGCGGAGACTCCCTTCCCCGGGGGAGGGGGCTCCGCCGCCCGAGGTGACCCCTCCGCCTCCACCTCGGTGAGAGGGGGGCTGGGAGGGCGCCTGGATCCCGAGACCCGCGCGGGTGGCCAGCTGGCAGGAGGGGACGGGGTCAAAGGTGGAAGGCTACGGGCTGGCAGGGAGAGGAGGCCTGGACCCGGGTTCGGAAAGAGGAAGGACATCATCTGTGCGGGACCGTGAGCAGGATGGACACCCGGCCCGGGCGGGTGGTTGCAGCCGCAGGGAGGGCTGCTGAGAGCGGGCAGCTCAATTTCTGGATCCCAGGCGGGACCGAGTCAGGTCGAGCGCAGGGTGTGTGTGTGTGTGTCCTGGACCCGGGAGACGGCGGGGCCTGTATTCCTCCGCGGAGCTGGCTGTGGTGGGCGGGGCCCCACTCAGCACCTGTTTCGCAGGATCTCTGCAGACCTTTCGGCTCCTGATGACAGGAGATTCAGATTTCAAGTCACCCCGGTTTTCCTTAACCCAGTTGCTGTGAGAGTCTTGCTTCAACGATAAACGGGATAATACAAAATAGCATTCTGTCAAAGAGAGGGACCAAAAAACAACATAGAGGGTGAGACCGTTGGAGGGCGTCTCGGAGGTTTTATTTCTGATTGGGACCAGGGATGGATCTGGTCCGGCGTGGGAATTTGGGGGGCTTCAGGGATGTCCAGGAGACACTGGCTGATTTCCTTCTGCTCCTCTAGGCTCCTGGCCAGAAGCTGGAGGGGACTTGGCCAACAAGACCAAGAAACAACTCGGCTGAGCTTTGTAGCTCTGAGACAGAAAATGTCTGCGGATGGTGGAGGCATCCGTGCTACCCAGGACAAGGAGGGAGCCCAAGAGGTATGGATGGGGTGCTGGGTGAGGGAGGCATGCACTGGAAGGAACTGGAGTGGAAGGGGATTTTCAAGGCAGGGCATTTGGACCAATGGATGAGTTAGACTCACCGTGGGAGCAGGGCTGGTAGATGCGGTGGGGGGATGTTGAAGAGAAGGTGGTATGATGGGAAATACCTTCCACCTGGGAATCGACTTCTATGGGACTGCTTTGCTTTGCCTCGTGAATTCGGTAGTCAGCAGACCAAAGGCTACACGAGATAGTAAGGGGGCTGCACAGGGGTCCCGTGGGTGGGGTTTGCTCTCTGAACAGTGCTCAGAGCATATGGGCAAGCCTCAGTCTACCCTCTACTCCCCTCTGCCTGGGCCCGCACCTCCTCTCTCTCTGGGTCTGAGCACATAGCCCTTCCTGTACCTGTTGCCTGTGTGTGCGTAGTTACGACTTGCGGGGAGACCATGGTCACCAAGCTTGGGACTGGGGGAACATGAGTCAGCTGCAGCGGGATGTGCGACCTTGGGCAGGTCCCTTGGCCTCTGGGAACCAGGTGTGTCATCTATAAAATGCGGATCATGTGCCTGCCATTCCCACCTGTCTTGCCAGGTGGTTGGGAGGCTCAGAGAAGATAATAGGCATGAGAGGCCTCTGTAAGCAGCTCATCAGCCCGTAGGTGCTCATTATTGTAACATATAAAACACCACCCACAGCAACTAGAACCTAGGTCAGAGAAACCTGGAAATCCTCAGCTACGGTTTCCAGTAGCTGTAAGTTCAAGTACAAATCAAGTGTCAGTTCTGTTTTCATACCATAGAAGCACAAAGAATTTTTACTGCAGTTCAGTTTCCCTTCCATAATGCCTTTGTAACTCCCAGTGGGCCTCATATGTCCACAACGTTCTGTGCTGATGTTGGATTCTGTCAGCTCACACAGTAGAGTAATAATAATAATTACCAGCACTGCTCTTTGTTTATCCAGAACTTTGTGGAGAGGAGAGCTCTTTCTCACGTGTTATCTGTGTGGAGGCAGAGCAGCTGAGTCTCGGAGGCCGCCTGGCCTGTGTGGCTCCCAGGAACTTTGACTCCTGGCCTGAGAGTCTTATATACTGAGGTGGGTGGGGAGGTGGAGGGATAGGCTTGAGTTCCCAGCAGAAGGCTGGCCGGTGCCCAGTGCTATGGGTGGTGATGATGAGGCCTCACCAGGGCCTCCCAGTGCAAGGGAAGTGACTTTCCCAGTGCTCTGCTCTGCTCAGGACTGAAAGGCTGGTAAGTGGTGGTTCTGGATTCCAGCCCCGGTAGCCTGACTCAAAAGCTTGCTCCTCACCTCCCAGAGGGCTGGGGCAGAGGCTGCTATGAAGAGGGGAGGGAGGATCCTGGCAGTCCCATTGTGGGGGACAGTGCTAAAGGGGGTGAGCCTGAGAGGAGTTTCCCTTCCATCAGACTTAGGTGGGTACAAGGCCTCAGCACAGTTAGAGGTATGCTTGGACTTATTTTTTCCAAATCAGAAACTGCCAACAGCTCTGACCAATTGAGTTAGGACTGAAATGGCCCAAGGCCACATGTCTTCCTGTCACTTTCAAGAAGTTATGGCCCTGGGGGTGACTTGTGAGTCCGATACACTGAGTTCAAGTCCTGGCCGAGTCACTCCAAGCTCTGTGACCTTGGGCCATTGTCTGTTCTCAGAGCCTGGGGGTGTGAGTTTTCTGTGTCTGCTGTAACAAAGGACCACAAACTGGGTGGCTTAAAACAACCGGCTTTTATTCTCTCACACTTTGGAGGCCAGAACCCCAAAATCAAGGGGTCAGCAGGGCCCCCTCCCAAGGCTCTAGGGGAGGATCCTTCCTGCCTCTCAGCTTTTGGTGGCTCCAGGTGTCCCTTGGTTTGTGACAGCATCACTCCAGCCTCTGCTTCCATCTTCACATGGCTTCTCCTCTGTTTCTGTGTCTTCTCCTCTTTTTTTTTGGCTGCCGCATGGCTTGTGGGATCCTAGTTCCCTGACCAGGGATAGAACCTGGGCCCTCGGCAGTGAAAGCGGGAGTCCTAACCACTGGACTGCCAGGGAAGCCCCTGTGTCCTCTCCTCTTCTATGGACACCAGTCATTGGATTCAGGGCCCAACCTGAATCCAGGATTATTTCATCTCAAGATCCATAACTACATCTGCAAAGACCTTTTTTCCAAATAAGTCACATTCTGAGGTTCCGAGTAGACATGAATTTTGAGGGTACACTATTCAACCCAGCCAACTACATTCGGTTTCCTCATATATTAAAAGAATAACAATCCACACTCCTGTGGGAGGTGGGAGGCTCAAATTGGGAAGAGGCATCTGCCCTGTGGGCACCCAGCAGGGCCTCGATGAGCCTCCCCTCCTTCCCTCACTGTCCTGCCTCACAGGGTGAACCACGGATATGCAGGTCTCAGGGACGGAGACGGAAGCAGGGCCAGCCTTGCATCTGGGTGTGCGTTCTGCCAGCCTCGGTGTCTGCCTCTGCAGGTCCCCGAGTGTGGAGTTCTGCTGTGTTTCCCATTCTCCGTCCCAGTGCTGATGGGGCTGTTATTTCTAGACTCCAGGTCATGGGCATTCTTGTCAAGAAATGCTTTCCGAGTCGGAGGGGACAGTGCCGTTGGGAGCCACTCAGGAGTCACCCCACATCAAGATGGAGCCGGAAGAGCCGCACCCTGAGGGGGCATCACAGGAGGCCAGAGCTCAAGGAGTACGGGGCTGGGTGCCCCTAAGCCAGGGCTCTAAGGAGAAATCACATTTCCTGCCTGGCGGAGGTGAGGAGGGGGATGTGGAGAGAGGCACTTTCCCAGGTGGACGCTCAGCCCGGGTGGGGAGACCCTGATGTCTGCCCCACCTGCCCCTTGGAGGCTGCCCCCGCTCACCCTCAGAGCCCACTGACCCTCTTCTTGGATCAGGTCGGGGGTGGAGTTGGAGGCACTGTGGGTTTCCCTGGTGGGCCTGGCATGAGCTCACTGCGGGGAGTGGGAGGGCCAAGCGGGATGAGGTGGCCGCGCTGAGGACCTCTCTCCTCTCTCAGCCCTCCCCTCCCCCCAGATCTCTGTGCTTTCTCACGAGGGGAGGACCAGAGACCGGCGGATGGCCGCGGCGCTCCTCACTGCCTGGTCCCAGGTGAGTGTCCCCATCCACAGCTGGAGCCGAAGGATGTGGAGGGACAGCGTCTCTGAATCATCCTCTGGATCTGAGCGCTGGACCTGAGGGTGGGGACTGGAGATCCTGAGCTTTGGCAGTGGTGCCGAAAAGAAGGATCCTTGTTTTTGTCTCTTGTCTTCTGCTGTACACAAGCTCTTTGTTCTTGCCCACAAAAGCCTTCCTTGGGCAACTGTCCTGCTTCATCACACCCGAGGGCCAGCCTCACTTGAGTCAGCAGGATGGGAGTCGGGGTCTTGCCCTTGTCCTGGCACCACCATGCCCCTCCACCACGTCCTGGCGTGTCCTGGAGAGTGGGCATCTCATGTTGTTTCAGATGCCAGTGACCTTTGAGGATGTGGCTGTGTACCTCTCCCGGGAGGAGTGGGGGCGGCTGGACCACACACAGCAGAGCTTCTACAGGGATATCCTGCAGAAGAGAAACGGGCTGTCCTTGGGTAAGGGCTCACTCGTGCTGGAGTGCTGCTTCCTGAGGCCCTGGGAAGTCAGCGGTGGGGCCTATCTGCCATCACCTCCTCCTCCCTTTCCAGGGCTTGAACCCCCTCTTGTGGCTCATCCAGACCTCACTGTACTATAGAAGCTTCCTAGTGATGGATGTGTTCTGGTCGGTGCTGATATGGTAGCCATGAGCCATATGTGGCTATTGACCCCTAGAAATGCAGCTAGGGCAACTGAGTTTTTTGTTTTATCTCATTTTAATCAGCTCAGATTTGAATTGAAATAACCACATGTGGCTAGCGGCTGCTGTGCTGGACAGTGCCGACCTAGAGACTGTGCTTCTCTCCAGTTCTTCCCTAGCTTATTCCAGTAGTTCCCCCACTTCCAAGCCCAGCTTCAGAGGTATCTGACCAGAAAGCCTGGCTCTGGGCCGGGCTGCTAGCCCAGGGGATGGGGAACAGTGCCAGCTAATCCCTCCAGGCCTTTGACTCTGAGCTGTCACATCCACCCCAGGGCCGTGTCCTCTTCTCAGAGGGGCCTTGGCTCCCTTGGTTTTTCTCATGGTAAGCAGTAAAGTCCCAGGGCTTTGATTCCTCAGTTTCAGGCTCTAGTTTTCATGGCAGACTTTTATGAGGGCTTATGGAAAAATCAGCATTCATTCATTCATTGTCATTCATTCGGTCATTCAGTCTGTTTGTCAGTGCACATCTGTTGCACACCTGCTAGTCCAGGTGGAGCCAGGGTCTTGGTAATTCCACCCTCTGACTTTGATGGCGGGCCAAGACCCCTGTTGTCCCTGGTGGACCCCGGGATCACAGCAGCTGCTGTGCTCACACCTTTAATTATCTCTGGTTTGCTCACCACCCATTGTTAGCACTCTCCGGGGCCCAGGCCAGCAGGTCCAGGCAAGTCTTGGGAGATCAGAGGGAACCAGCATCCACTCCACAGCCCCATGGCAGACCTCACAAATGCCCTAAACCACCCAGTTGGTCCAAACATTCCTTCCCCCCCATGGGGCTTGGATCAGGGCATGGAGGCCAGGGCCCTTCTGCTCTCTTCCTGACTTGACCAGAATTCCCAGGCCCTCACCCTGGGGTACTTGGCAAATGGGCCTTTGGTCCTTGACTTCTGGGTGGTCAGTGTCCCTGGCCCTCTTATCGCAGGCCCTCCCACTTGGCCTCTCTTTGCCCACTGCCCCTCCCCCAGGAGCCCTTTTTGCCTGTGATCCTGGGAAGGTGCAGGTGCAGGATAGAAAGACTGCATCTGGTTTCTGACATTGCTGGACTCACTGCTGGGGACAGTGTGACATAGAGGTGGCCAGCAGCTGACCTGGCCCAGCCCTGAGAAGAGTGTGCCTGGAGGTTGCCCCGGAGTGTGCATCCTGAGAGGGCATGGCCATCTGCCCCCAGTGACTGTTGAGCTCACTTGGTTTTGCCCCATGTTTGCAGAGCTGCATCCCCTCTTCTTTTGCTCCATCATCTCTCCGGGGAGGTGGGGGGTGGTTTCTCCTTGCTGTGCAGCCCGAAAGGCCCTGACTGAGCACAGCATCTCTTCCCAAGCAGGGTTTCCCTTCAGCAGGCCTTTCTGGGCCTCTCAAGTGCAGGGCAAGGGCGAGGCCTCGGGATCCTGCCAGCAGATGGGAGATGAGGAGGAGGAGAAGAGAGGTGCGTGCAGAGGTGACAGGTGGGCGAGGCAGTAGGGTCGTGGCTGTCACTCCCAGGTGCCCCATGTCAGTGCGGGTGGTTTTCTGTGGGGTGCAGACACACAGCCCCTCCTGGGGCAGGGCCGCCAGCCCTCCCTCCTGTGTGGAGGGTGGCTCTTGCTTCCAGGGTTCCCAGCAGGTCCTTGCCCTAATTTCTAGCTCCACAATTCCCCCGGGGCCCTCATGAAAGCCTCTGCCTTGCTGGAATCCCTCTTTATCCAGGAGCCATGGAGGTGGGCAAGGAGGAGCTAGCCCCATCCCTGGGAGCCCTTGGGGATATGAAGTCCTTCAAAAGCAGGGTGGGGAGAGCCCAGGGGGACGCCCCATGGTGTGGGCAGCGAGCAGCCGGCAGCCAGAGCTCAGGGCCAGCCAAGGACGATGTGCAGCCGGGTCCCGTGGTGGAGGCACAGTCGGAACCAGCCCCGCCTGACATCGGCATCCCGAAAGCCCAGGAGGGCCGCTTCCCAGAGCAACCCAGAGAGGGGGGGACGACCGCCCCTGAGAGCAGCGAGGAGGGCCTGGCCTCTGACGGCGACGCCGGCAAGAAGACCTACAAGTGCGAGCAGTGCGGCAAGGCCTTCAGCTGGCACTCGCACTTGGTGACGCACCGGCGCACGCACACGGGTGAGAAGCCCTACGCGTGCACGGACTGCGGCAAGCGCTTCGGCCGCAGCTCACACCTCATCCAGCACCAGATCATCCACACCGGCGAGAAGCCCTACACCTGCCCGTCCTGCTGGAAAAGCTTTAGCCACCACTCGACGCTGATCCAGCACCAGCGCATCCACACGGGTGAGAAGCCCTACGTGTGCGACCGCTGCGCCAAGCGCTTCACCCGCCGCTCGGACTTGGTCACCCACCAGGGCACCCACACGGGCGCCAAGCCGCACAAATGCCCCATCTGCGGCAAGTGCTTCACGCAGAGCTCAGCCCTGGTCACCCACCAGCGCACCCACACCGGGGTCAAACCCTACCCGTGCCCCGAGTGCGGCAAGTGCTTCAGCCAGCGCTCCAACCTCATCGCCCACAACCGCACACACACCGGCGAGAAGCCCTACCACTGCCTCGACTGCGGCAAGAGCTTCAGCCACAGCTCGCACCTCACTGCCCACCAGCGCACCCACCGTGGTGTCCGGCCCTACCCCTGCCCCCTGTGCGGCAAGAGCTTCAGCCGGCGCTCCAACCTGCACCGGCACGAGAAGATCCACACGGCGGGGCCCAAGGCCCTGGCCATGCTGATGCTGGGGGCAGCCGGGGCTCTGGCGGCACCCCCTCCGGCCCCCACCTAGGAGGCTGAGAGGCAGGGGCTGGCCTGGAGACAGGGAAGGAGGGGGATTGGAGCAGGGGCAGCTGCTGCGGGGGTGTGACCTGGGAGGCCCAGGAAGGGAGTTGGGGAGGTGCTGGCATGGGGATGGGGCGCGGCAACATGGGAGGAGCTCGGGTGAGGAGGAGGCATGCTCACTGCAAATTAAAGGCCTTGGAATTCGAGCGACAGCCTATAGCTCTGTCTCGTGGGGCCCTGGAGGCTGACCCTGGACTTGGCGGGGGGAAGTGGGGGCTCCGGAGTCAACCCAGTGTCTCCTCACTCAGCCATCCCTATGTCATCCCTCTGGGGGCTTGGGCACCTTCCTCCCCAGCCTTCACCTGGCTTGGACCCATTCCAGAGCCTATAGCAAAGGCTTCTGAGCACAGAGGTTTCCAAACCTGAAGTCAGCTGGCCACTTCTGAAATTGTGGACCCGGTGGGGTGGTCTGCTGCTGTGGTCACTTGTCCCAGGCATTGCCCACTGAGCTCTGGACCCTCCCTGGGCTCTTCTCTTTGGGAGCCGGGAGGAGGGCCAAGCCAGCATGGGAATTCATGCTCAGTGTCTCCTGCCTTCCCTGTCTCCTGTCTCAGGCACTGGGGCCTGCATTTTGTGACTGGACGTTTTCACCTGCGTCCCTGAGGACCCAGCTGTAATCCAGTGAGGATTTCTCACTTACCAGGGACCCTGCCCCTCCTGGTCCTTTCTGAGGCTGCTGCCAGCTTCCTCTCCTATTTCTCACCTCCTTGGTCTCTTTGCACATGTCCTTTATAATTTGCCCTAACCGCCCCTGCCTGGCTGTTTTACTCCTGGCCTTCTGGTTTTTTAGCTCTGAAGCTTCCCATTCTCTACGTTTTTTTTTCCCCCGCTGGGGAGGGGTGGGCTCAGCTTGCTTATTGTCCTAGGTTTGCAGCTCAGCTCTCACAATTACATTCAGTCTGACACCAAATGACCTTGAGGACGTCTGCATCAGGGAGGCTGTTGGGACCCCACCTGTCTCTGCAGATCACAGGGCTAGCAGGGCAGTCGCAGCCCCGGTTAGCTCCCAGCCAATAAGGGATGAAATGTCTTGAACAGGACAGCAGACTGAGAATGGTAATAATAGCTGCCAGTGGCAGCTGCCCTGTCAGGCGTGGGACCAAGCACCATAAATACGTTTCCTCAACGCTCTACAAGTCTGAGCAGTGGGTTTCATCTCAGTTTTATAGAGGAGGAAACAGGCCAAGAAGTCCAATAACTTGTCCAAAGTCATTGAACCAGAGAGCTGGAAGCTGGGGCTCAGGTCCAGGGTTTTTATTTGTTTGTTTATTTATTTACTTGGTTGCACCGGGTCTTAGTTGTGGCTCACTGGCTCCTTAGTTGCAGCACATGGTTTCCTTAGTTGTGGCTGCAGGGCTTCTCAGTTGTGGCTCACTGGCTCCTTAGTTGTGGCATGTGAACTCCCAGTTGCAGCATGCATGTGGGATCTAGTTCCCTGACCAGGGATCGATCCTGGGGCCCCTGCATTGGGAGCACGGAGTCCTATCCACTATGCCACCAGGGAAGTCCCAAGATATTTAGGGAGTTCTAGACAATGCTATAAGACTAAGAAAATAATGAGTATAAATTCTGGAAATGAATATAAATTTTCTGGAAAGACAATTTTCCCTTTTTACATCATAGAAAAATAAACTAAAACTATCAGAAGGAAAGTACAATAAGGTGGTCAATTTCAATATAACTATAAACAAATTATCATCCATCAGCAATGCCCAATAGAATATATGGTAGGTGTGCTAGTTATTAATTTATTGTCCCTCAAACCCCCAATACACCCTTTTGTCCTGCTTTGTGGTAATGGAGCCAGATCCCACGGACGTTTCTCCTTTGCAAGCCAACTTGTTGTTAATCTTTGTCAGTACAGGGTGAAGAACAATGTAAGGGCACACTGGAAAAAGGGACTTTCAAGTTCCTTCTTCCTTGTGTAGTTTTCCACTGGGGCCAGTAAGGGGAGGAGAGGGAGCCCAGTAGCATCCACTTCAGCGGTCTTCTTAGAACAGCCTGGGCTCATCCCTTCCAGCAAGTAGTTCAAGCAAATGCAGGAAGGTGTACGTAGTAAACATCTACAAATGGAAAAATTGAAACAATCTAAATATCCAAGAGTAGGGGACTTTAAATGGAATATGGAACTTCCATGTTTTGGAATACTATGCACCTTGCACAACAGATGGATTTTGATAGACTTTTTTTTTTTTAATATTTTGTCTCCACAAGGCATTACTGTTATCTGAGATGAATTTTTTTTTATTTATTTATTTTTGGCTGCGTTGGATCTTCGTTGCTGTGCGCGGGCTTCCTCTAGCTGTGTCGAGCAAAGGCTGCTCTTCATTGCGGTGCCGAGGCTTCTCACTGAGGTGGCTTCTCGTTGCGGAGCATGGACTGTAGGTGCGCGGGCTTCAGTAGTTGTGGCCCGCGGGGTCAGTAGTTGTGGCTTGCGGGCTCTAGAGCGCAGGCTCAGTAGTTGTGGGGCAACGGCTTAGTTGCTTCACAGCATGTGGGATCTTCCCGGGCCAGGGCTCGAACCCGTGTCCCCTGCATTGGCAGGCGGATTCTTAACCACTGCACCACCAGGGAAGTCCTCTTTGATAGACTTGAGCCAACAAAAATTCATTAAATAGAATTATTCCAGATTTACCTTAGAAATAATCATAGATGTAGAACTTAAGACTGAAATATTAATAGTGCTTATTTCTGAATGGCCTTATTAGGGATATTTTTAACTTTCAGTTATTTTAACCATCAGTTTTTCAACAAATATTGTGCCAGGCACAGTATTTAAGTTCTGGAAGTAGGGCAGTGAAAACAGTCTGATATCATGAAAATTATAGTCGAGTAGTGGGGGGCAAATATACAAATATGTCAGGTAGTGATAAAAGTTAGGAAGAAAAATAAGGCAGGGCAGAGGCATGGCAGCGGGGGCCGGGTGCTGTTTACATAGGGTTAGGGAAAAACCACTTTGAGGGAGTGCCATGTGAGCTGAGTGAGGAAGTTAGCTTTGTGGATATGGATGCCTTTAAAATTTTCCGTACTTTATTTTCTTTCCTACACTAAGGATGCAATACTTGCATAATCAAACAACAACCACCACAAGAAAGGATTTTCTATTTCAGAAAAAGATCTGGAGCCTCATATCTCCAAGGGGAGTAAGAAGAGGGTGGGAGCAGGTCCAAATGCATAGAGCTTCCCCGACGCGGCCCGCCTGCTTTAGATTCTCCCCAGCCTGGAGAGCCCCGCTGTCCTTCAGTCAAATCTGCTGGTCGGGGTCAGCGTCCCTGACGGCCGCATCCTGCTGAGAGACCCTAGCCGACCCTCGGGAACAGAGGATCGGCGCAGGAGGTTCCCGGCCCCTCACTGGACTGCATTTCCCAGCAAGCTCCGCGCCCTGCTAGAAGCAGCTAAAGACTATTTGGGTGGGTGCGGGACCCTAAAAGCTATAAACGAGTCTCCTAAGGCTGAGTTCCGGCTCCTGGACCACGGCCCCCTCACCTCTCGACCCACTGTGTAGCGGAAAGAGCAGGGGACGGAAGGAAGAGTCCACGCCCGAGCATCCCTTGCGGCGGAACAGGCGATCCACTCGTAGCTGGGCCCAGAGACATCTCTGCCCAGCAGGCCAGCCTTGGCTTTTCCTTTTCACCCTTCACGGGTCAGAGGAACACAGAAAACTGAAAGACAAGGCGAGAGGGAGAAAGCGCGAATCTAGGGGCAGACCTCAGCCTGGGGGCATGGGTGTTGACCACATGACGTCACTGCCTTCTGATTGGCCATCCCTGGAAATTCTCACCGTTCATTGGTCATCCGTCAGGGAGAAGGCCCGTACAGTAGGCGAACGCCCTCCTGGGGAGAGTAGTTGGAGTGCTTGTCTCGGCGCATGCGCCGTGTTGTTTCCCGGCGAGCCCCGCGCGAATTTCCGGCGCCGAAACCTGGAGGCGGAAACTGGGAACGCCTGGGCGACTGTGGGCGGTGTGAGTCCTGGGGGGCGGGACAGGCGACGCGGCCCGCCTGGCTCCGAGGTCGAGCGCAGGGCTTCGGGAGGCCGGGGCCGGCGCCCCGAGGCAGAGGCCGAAGGGGGCGCGCACCTCAGGGAGGTGCAGGGGAAAAGCCTGGGGCGCCGCACCCGCTGCCCGCCCCTCCGCCTCTCATCTCCGCTCAGGCAAGGCTGCTGGGACCGAGCGCGGGGCTCTGGCCGGGTCCGCGTTCCCGACTGCCGAGTCCTACTGAGCGACCCTGGTGAGTCCCTGGCTCTGTCCGAGCGGAGCCTTCTCCTCGGTCACTGGAGGATGAGCATGGAGAGCGTACCTTTCAGAATAAACTAAATGAAGTGCTTAGTGTGTAGTAGTAAAGAATTGGAAACAACCTGAATGCCTCACTCGGGTGGGTATTCATTAAGAAACGAGTATATCCATACCACGGAATCTCCTAGAGCGGCTGAGGCAGCATTGTTGGGTAGAAAAGCAAATGACAAAATAGTATTGCGGTAAGACCTGATTTATGTAAAAACACGCACAAAGCACTTTGCTCCCGGTTTCTATGGATATATTTCCAGTAAATGAACAGGGCAAGATTTGGGAGGTCATATGTCAGACTGTTAATGGGGGTGCAGCTGCAGTGTGGAAGGAAGAGTTTCTCTTTTATGTATTTCTGTATTGTTTAACACCCCCCCCCCTTTTATTACAATGGTTTGTATCACTTTTTTTGTTGAAACAAAAAGCAATTAAAAATATTCCAGGGCTTCCCTGGTGGCGCAGTGGTTGAGAGTCCGCCTGCCGATGCAGGAGACACGGGTTCGTGCCCCAGTCCGGGAAGATCCCACACGGCGCGGAGCGGCTGGGCCCGTGAGCCATGGCCGCTGAGCCTGCGCGTCCGGAGCACAGGCTCCGGA